CGAAAGGCCACCTGAGGCCGAAGTACCGGCGCCAAGACCAGATCGTGACTCCTCCTCCTCCTCCTCCTCCTCCTCCTCCTCCTCCACCTCCTCGTCCTCCTCCTCCTCCTCCTCTCCTCCTCTGCCTCCGCCTCCTCCTCCTCCTCCTCCTCCTCCCAATCCAGCTGCATGAGGAGGGGAACAGGAAGGGAGGAGGAGCAGGAAAGGAAGAGGAAAAGAAGGAACTGGAAAGAAACTGGGCATCGATTATTTTTCCCAGGCCAACTGTCTGTGGCAGTCCCAGCATTATTCACTGCGTGGGGATCCCCATATGTGCATCTCCTTGCTGGCGCTCCCTTGGTGGTGGGACTCGGTGAGGACGAATCTGGATTTAAGTGTGACTGAGCTGCCTCTCTCTCTCTCTCTCTGCTCTCTCTGTCTCTCTCTCTCTCTCTGCCCTCTCTCTGTCTCTGCCTCTCTTTCCCTGCCTCTCTCTCTCTCTGCCTCTCTCTCTGCCTCTCTCTCTCTGCCTCTCTCTCTCTCTGCCTCTCTCTCTGTGCCTCTCTCTCTCTGCCTCTATCTCTGCCTCTCTCTCTCTCTCTCTCTCTCTCTCTCTCTCTCTCTATTCTCTCTCTGCTCTCTCCTCTCTCTCTCACTCTCCCTCTCTCTCTCTCTCGCTCTCTCTCTTCTCTTCTCTTCTCTTCTTCTCTCTCTCTCTCTATATCTCTCTCTCTCTCTCTTTCTCTCTCTATCTCTCTCTCTCTCTCTCTCTCCTCGCTCTCTCTCTCTCTCTCTCTCTCTCTCTCTCTCTCTCTCGCTCTCTCGCTCTCTCTTGCTCTCTCTCGCTCTCTGTCGCTCTCTCTCGCTCTCTCTCTCTCTCTCTCGCTCTCACTCGCTCTCTCTCGCTCTCTCTCGCTCTCCCTCGCTCTCTCCCGCTCTCTCTCTCTCTCTCTCTCTCTCTGCTCTCTCTCTCTCTCTCTCTCTCGTCTCTCGCTCTCTCTCTCTCTCTCTCTCTCTCTCTCTCTCTCTCTCTCTCTCTCTCTCTCTCTCTCTCTCTCTCTCTCTCTCTCTCTCTCTCTCTCTCTCTATCTCTCTCTCTCTCTCTCTCTCTCTCTCTCTCTCTCTCTCTCTCTCTCTCTCTCTCTCTCTCTCTCTTCTCTCTTCTCTCTTCTCTCTCTCTCTCTCGCCTGTCTCCTCTCTCAACTCCCCCTCTCTCTCTCTCTCGCTCTCTCTCTCAACTCTCTCTCTCTCTCTCTCTCTCTCTCGCTCTCTCTCTCTCTCTCTCTCTTGCTTCCTCTCTCTCTCTCTTGCTCTCTCTCTCTCTCCTCTCCTTCTCTCTCTCTCTATCTTCCTCTCTCTCTCTCTCTCTTCCTCGCTCTCTCTCTCTCTCTCTCTCGCTCGCTCGCTCGCTCGCTCGCTCTCTCTCTCTCTCTCTCGCTCTCTCCCGCTCTCTCTCTCTCTCTCTCTCTCTCTCTCTCTCTCTCTCTCTCTCTCTCTGCTCTCTTCGCTACTGGCTTCTGACGGAGTCTGGGTTAGGTGAGCCTGAGTGTGGGTGAGTCTGAGTATGGGTACGTCTGTGTGTGCCTGACTCTGAAGAAATGAATCTGAGTGTGAGTGAGCTTGTGTATGAGTGAGTCTGGGTGCGAGTCTGAATCCCAATGGTGCCCCTGGCAGTGTCTGGCGACTAGGAGGCCCGGGTCGACTCCTCTTTGGGAAGCCAAAATGCTGCCCCTGGCAGCGTTTGGTGACTATGAAGCCCCTGGTGGACCCCCCCTGGGGCTCCCAAATGATGCCCCTGGCAGCGTTTTGTGACCATGAGGCTCTCAAGAGATACATGTTGGGGACGCCAAACGGCAATTCTAGCTGAGGCGTCCCACCAAAATCGGCGCGAACGGGCTCGTGAGATCAGCCAGGGTGGCTCCCCCTTGGGGCTCCCAAATGATGCCCCTGGCAGCGTTTTGTGACCATGAGGCTCTCAAGAGATACATGTTGGGGAGGCCAAACGGCAATTCTAGCTGAGGCGTCCCACCAAAATCGGCGCGAACGGGCTCGTGAGATCAGCCAGGGTGGCTCCCCCTTGGGGCTCCCAAATGATGCCCCTGGCAGCGTTTTGTGACCATGAGGCTCTCAAGAGATACATGTTGGGGGCGCCAAACGGCAATTCTAGCTGAGACGTCCCACCAAAATCGGCGCGAACGGGCTCGTGAGATCAGCCAGGGTGGCTCCCCCTTGGGGCTCCCAAATGATGCCCCTGGCAGCGTTTTGTGACCATGAGGCTCTCAAGAGAGACATGTTGGGGAGGCCAAACGGCAATTTTAGCTGAGACGTCCCACCAAAATCGGCGCGAACGGGCTCGTGAGATCAGCCAGGGTGGCTCCCCCTTGGGGCTCCCAAATGATGCCCCTGGCAGCGTTTTGTGACCATGAGGCTCTCAAGAGATACATGTTGGGGGCGCCAAACGGCAATTCTAGCTGAGACGTCCCACCAAAATCGGCGCGAACGGGCTCGTGAGATCAGCCAGGGTGGCTCCCCCTTGGGGCTCCCAAATGATGCCCCTGGCAGCGTTTTGTGACCATGAGGCTCTCAAGAGATACATGTTGGGGGCGCCAAACGGCAATTCTAGCTGAGACGTCCCACCAAAATCGGCGCGAACGGGCTCGTGAGATCAGCCAGGGTGGCTCCCCCTTGGGGCTCCCAAATGATGCCCCTGGCAGCGTTTTGTGACCATGAGGCTCTCAAGAGAGACATGTTGGGGAGGCCAAACGGCAATTCTAGCTGAGACGTCCCACCAAAATCGGCGCGAACGGGCTCGTGAGATCAGCCAGGGTGGCTCCCCCTTGGGGCTCCCAAATGATGCCCCTGGCAGCGTTTTGTGACCATGAGGCTCTCAAGAGATACATGTTGGGGAGGCCAAACGGCAATTCTAGCTGAGACGTCCCACCAAAATCGGCGCGAACGGGCTCGTGAGATCAGCCAGGGTGGCTCCCCCTTGGGGCTCCCAAATGATGCCCCTGGCAGCGTTTTGTGACCATGAGGCTCTCAAGAGATACATGTTGGGGCGCCAAACGGCAATTCTAGCTGAGACGTCCCACCAAAATCGGCGCGAACGGGCTCGTGAGATCAGCCAGGGTGGCTCCCCCTTGGGGCTCCCAAATGATGCCCCTGGCAGCGTTTTGTGACCATGAGGCTCTCAAGAGATACATGTTGGGGGCGCCAAACGGCAATTCTAGCTGAGACGTCCCACCAAAATCGGCGCGAACGGGCTCGTGAGAACAGCCAGGGTGGCTCCCCCTTGGGGCTCCCAAATGATGCCCCTGGCAGCGTTTTGTGATCATGAGAGAGTGTGAGTGTGAGCTTAACTTATCTTATCTTATCTTGAAATCTCTTCTTGTCATATCCTGTGCTATTCTTGTATTATATTATCTTATATTGTAGTATATTATCTGGTCTTATATCTTGTATTATCTTATCTTATATTGTAGTATCTTATATTGTCTTATCTTATCTGGTAATTATCAGTGGGAGGAGGGAGGCGGGAGGCGGGAGGAAGAAGGAGGAGGAGGAGTGGGAGGCGTCAGAGTAATAACAAGAACCCCAATCCTTAGGATATGGGGAAAAAGCAGGAATAAAAGTGGGCCAGTTGATAGAGAGGGAAGCGAATCAGTTCCCGCACATGGTTTTCCTGTCGCTGGGAGGCGCCAAAGTCTCGAGGAAAGACAGGCGCTCGACGGCGGGGCCGAAACCAGCTGCATGCAGCAACTTTCGTACTGCCCCCTTTCCCCACCCTCTCCCCCTTCCCTGATATCCGCTGGTATGATTTGTTCGCCAAGGGACACCTCGAGGTTCCGACCCCTTGCCTGGGGGTAGTTTTTCGCCCCAGACGTAGTTTTGATGGTCCCGCGGCCCGATGACGGGCCCTGGCGCCCGAACTCTAGGGAAAACACCGGTTGAACAAGTCAAATTGTGAGGTTATTAGTCTTCGCATTATTCCTCGGGTCTCCGGCGGCCGTTCGGGACGATCCGGGCGCTTCCAGAGCGCTCTCGGCGCGGCACAGCTGCTGGAGGTCATCCTGAGACTGCAAAACCGCAAACAACCCACGAAAACGTGCGGAAACCTCCGTCTGGAAACCTCCAACCCGCAACCCTAAATTATCCCTCCTGATTTTTCGCAAATGGCCAGTCTTGGAGTGCAGCCGACGTGGGCGCGCGCGGGGCGGGGCTGAGTATTGTTTAACCGATCCCCATTACCACTGGTGTGGCCTTGGCCCCACTGGCCGTTCACTTCGGGCTTCGAGGGGTCTGTCCCCGACTAGAGGGGCGGGGGTGTTGGGCTGAAAAACCATAGCCCAGTGGGAATGGGGATTGGTTAAAAGATGCTGAGGTAGGTAGAGGAACGAACAAAAACATAACGATAAACTTCTGAAGATCCGCGCGGTTTTCTTGGATCGGCGTTGGCCACCCCCAGTGGCGCCTCTGGCGCCGCCCCTGGCGCGCTCCGCGCGCCAGGCAGGGGGGTCCAGCGCCGATCCAAGAAATCCGCGCGCAGCATCAAAAGCGTTTGCTGATGCAACTTTCTGTTCTTTGAGAAGGGCTGGGTCCACCAGGTCCGCAAAAGCAACCCTAGGCAAGAGTGACCTGTGGTGCGCGGATTTAGGGGGGGCTCGGAGGGCCAAACGAGAACGCTCAAGCCATTGCGATCGAGGAGCCCCAAGTGGGCCAACGAGAACGCTCTCAGGCCAACGAGAACGCTCTCAGCGATCGAGGAGCCCCAAGTGGGCCCGCACCAAAGGTCACCCCGCCGCAGTGTTACTCTTACCCGTCGGTCGGAAGAAGTAGGTAGAAACGTGAAGTAGGAAGGCGCTGAAAGGATGCCCGCCCCCTGAAGATGAGGGAAAGGATAAAACTGCTCGACCTTTGAAGTAGGAAGGCGCCTGAAGTGGATTGGGATCTGGGAGCCCCAAAACAGGCACTTTCAACGACCGATGATGGGCACGCGCTATCGAGAGGGGGGCGGCGCCCACCAGGTCCGCGCGGGCCCGGCCGGCGAGCTCATCGGGGTCCCCGGCGTGCACCAGCCTGGGGGTTTCCGGGCGCGGCCGGCCAGCCGGCAGGAGGCCGCCCGTGGGTCCCCTCAGACGCGGGCGGCGACGACGGCGGCGGCGACGACGACGACGGAGGCGGCGACGGCGGCGACGAAGACAACGACGGGGACGGCGAAGGCGACGTCGACGGCGTCGGCGACGACGACGGCGGCGGCGACGACGACGGCGGCGGCAGCGGCGGCGGTGACGACGACGACGACGACGACGACGACCGACGGCGACGGCGACGGCGACGGCGACGGCGACGGCGACGACGACGACGGCGGCGACGGCGACGGCGACGGCGGCGGCGAAATCGACAGCGACGTCGACGACCACAACGCCGACGGCCAGCGGCAGCGAGGTTCCGCGCTCGCGATGGGCGCCTGGTCCCGCGACCCACGGTGGCGCCGTGGCGCGCGCGGCCGTCGTGGGGCTCGTGCTCATCAGCCCCCAGCTCTCGGATGCCTGGCCACATGGCGGGCGCGGGCGCTCGGACAGGGGACGCAGGCAGGCCAGGCAAAGGCGCGAGCGCTCCGCTCCCAACTCGCCCTGTTCCCCGAGACGAAGCCAGGACGAGGATAGCATCAAGTGGCGACACCTTGAGAATCCATGAGATCCAAGTGTTCTGAAAGACGTGATTATCGGGCGCCGTGCCCGACGTGATTATCGGGCGCCGTGCCCTTCTCATAGTGGTCTGGACCGCGATGAGAGCGTTCCGGAACGTTCCGGATCGGAATATATCCCCGTCCTAGCCCCAGGCCCCGCCTGACCACCCCATCCTACGGTCAGAATGTTTTGCTTAGCGTATCGCGGCTGCGGCCCGGGCGGCAAGCTACGCCCTGCGCGCGGATAGCGTGTCGTTCCGCTCCGCGGGGCGGGGGGATTGGAAAGGCTCGGGACGTTGACGCCTGGGGACCGAACCGTGCGCCGAAGCGCGGTGGGCCAAGACTGGCAGCGCGACGCGCTAAGTCCAAGCTCCTGACAGTACCTATTTCCTCCCTTCAAAGTTTTCGAACGCCCTCGTCGGTTCTCGGCAGTCATCCAGCCTCGGGATGCCTTCCCGGCAGACCTGAACTGGATCGAACCGCGAAGTCGGATGGGACCTGAAACAGACTGGATGGCCCGCGAATCGCTCCGAACCGAATCGAAATCAGATCGCCGCGCCTGGCTCTGGCTTTAGGTCTGGCAATAGCGACTACAGGCGGTGGACCGCCAGATCGCGCGAAGAAGCGTTTTTTTTTTTTTTTTTTTTGTTTTTTTTTGTTTTGTGTGTGTTTTTTTGTCTTATATATGTATTATATGAAAAAACTAGAAAGCTCTAAGCCAACACTTGCAAACATCTCAAACAAACCAACAAACTTCAAACAATATCGAAACGCCAACCTGCGAATATTTCAACACAAAAAACATCAAATCAGTAAGCCAACACTTGGGAAAATCTCACCCCGCCTCCCCAAAAAACCAACAACATTTAAAGCAAAAGCGTGGGAATATCTCAAACACTTGTTTTGCCCAAAAAGCTCTAAAACAGCTAGGAGTCGAAACTTGGGAAACACCTCAAAATAATGAAACCAAACTCGATGAACATGTTCCAAACAACTTCAAACAAACTTGAAACAAAAACTCTAACGCCTGAAAAGTGTTAACAACTCTGGACCAACTCGTCAACCACTCCAAATTCCACGACACGCTCTGAGGCAATGACAAATACATCGAAAACTAAGAGACTAAACCAATATCTGGCCGCCTGCAAGCAAGCATGAAGCTCGGCGCCTAAACGGCGCATCGGCACAGAAGGAACACTTGAGCTCCATGCAGCCCACGCCTTCCTCAAGGCAGCGTAGACGCGGAGGGCCCATTGCTGCTCAGGCCTCCCGCGTGAACGGTTCTCGTCCCAGATTTCAAGCAGGCTCGAATTCGCTTTGCACGTGAGCCTGCTGGGTGCTCCTCGAGAAGAGTGGCGGTCTCATTGTAGAGCTTCTGGCGCTCGAGCAAATCCTTACTCGGATCTTTCTGTCCCCGCCGCGCTGCGGTTCGGAAGCCCGGAGACATGGGCACACGGGATGCGACATTTTGTTCCATAGAAGTTGCACGTGGAAAAGCATTTAGCTTGTCCCTGTCCGCCTGGAGGGCCCACGCAGACTCCAAGTTGCACAGCGGCTTCGGCGCCGCAGCGGCTCGATGCAATTGCGCTGTCTTTGCGCTGTTATATATATATATATATATATATATATATATATATATATATATATATATATAAAAATATATGTATATGTGTAGATATATGTATATGTATGTGTATATATACATATATGTAAATTGCGCTGTCTTTGCGCTGTTATATATATATATATATATATATGTATATATATATGTATATGTATATGTATGTGTATATAAATACATATATGTATATGTATATGTATGTATATATATACATATGCGTGAGACCAAAATTGTTGAAGAGATTGGAACGCGCCCCGGCCCCCCCCCCCCTGTTTGAGGGTGAACTCTGGCTTCGCAGTGCAATTTGCGTTGAAGAGACCTCCGAGGGGCGCGGCCTGTTCCGCGATTACCACAGTATTCCCAGGCGTCCTGGAGGAGGCCAGTGTTCCGAACCCTCATGAGGACGGTCTTCTTCGCCCTCCACCACGCTGCTTCCCCTCCAAAGTGAACGCGTCGAGGGCGCGGCGGAACTTTTTAGCGCAACTGCCGGCGAGAATCGCGTCGTCCGCGCTCGGCAAATTTGAACGCCGAATGAGACCTGGCCCCTGGACTGTCGGGCGCGCGCCCTCCATGCGCGCGTCAACATCGAAGAGCATAACACATTGAACTACGATGAGGAGATCAGTGACAGTGGGCAGCCGCGCGCGATGCCGGCACGCTGTTGGCGCGCGCTTGACCCCCCAGATGGATCTTGGAGAACCATGTCCCGTTCGCGATAGATACCGGCAACCACGTCCACAAAACAAGATGGCATTCCGACTCTCCGCAGTGCCTGCAGCAAGACATCGCGCTTGATTCAGTCGAGAGCCTTCGCCCCATCCAACAAAACTGCCACTAGTCCCGGAAACTTCGGAGCACGCGACGCTTCGAACATGCGCCAGGCAATGGAATTCGCCTGCGCGGTGCCAACTTTTGGCCTGAATCCGAATGTGGTCGCTCTGAGTCTGCCTTCGGCGCTGCCTTGTTGCAGTCGACGTTGAAGCGCCCGCGCGAAAATCTTGCACCGACAAGCGAACCGCCGCCGCCATCCCCTCCACTTCGGGGCCCCCGCGAATCAGGGTGAGTGAAACCTGGGAACCTCGCGGCGGGCGCGACCGCCGCGGCGACCCCGTCTTCTCTTTTATTCTTCCGGCGCTCGTCATCATCCCTCGCTTTCTTTTGTTAGATTTCCCATTTTTCTGCGACTAACTCGGCCTCCCGTTGGTTTTGTCCGCGCTTTGTTTGCCTCGCTTCTCGTTGGCTGCAGCGCGGTGTTCCACGTTCTCGTCTGCCTTGCGCCACATAGATGTCAACTTCTCGGGCTCGGCCATGGCGCTGTCCTCGAGCGCCCTTTTAGCCCCGAGAGACCTCGCTCTGTATCCCATGCCCCGATGAAGTCGCGACATCGCCGCGCGGCTTCCTCGCGGTAGGTCCACGGTCGACTGGTCGACTGGCCCTGCGCCTGGTAAAGAGTGAGCGGCAGTTCGCTGTTCCATTTCTCCCCTCACCCTGCGCTCATTCCCCTCTTCTTCCCTTCGCCCTCCTCTGCCCCCCGTTCCCTTCGAGCGGACGCAGCGAGGCAAGTCGCGCGGCGATTCTTTTCCTGATCACAATGGTTCCCCTTTCTAAAGTAAAAAGGTAGGCTCTACCCCCCCATCCGGCGTTATCCACGCCCCTTTTCGAGTATGTGAATCATATGCGATTCTGACCACATGTCCATCCTAAATATGAGTTTGCACTATCCCAGGGGGGCGCTATCGACCCCCCTGAGGTTCCCTTGGCAACAACAAAAAAAAAAACAATACGCGGGGGCATATTTTGCTCGAACATAAGACTTCCCACGAAACCTTTGCAAAACATGTGGCGATGGGCACGCTCGCGCGCCGTCGCGCGCGCGTGCCGAAATCCTCCAACATCCTTCGGTGCCGGAAAGATTTCGCAATCGAGTTTCCCCCAAAAACATAGAAAACACATGGTTTCGCAGCACTGATTTGCTAAAAAAGCTTACGCGCGAGCTCTTGCGAAATCTTAAGGGAACAATGTTTTTTCTCAATATTTCCACAACGTGCTACCAAACGGGCTTCGCGCGCGCATGTCGAAATCTGTCGAACGCCCTTGCGCGCGTGCCGTCGCGAGAATCCTTTGCAAGAAATGTGGGAAAAGCAGACGCGCGCGTCGTCGCGCGCGTATGCCGGAATCCTTCAAAACCCATCGGTTTCGGAATGATTTCAAAATCGCGCGCCCAAAAAAAAACTTACAAAAATACAAGGTTTCGCAACGCGGATGTTCAACAAAAACGTGCGCGCGCGCTCTTGCGTCGTCGTCGTCGTCGTCGTCGTCGCCGTCCTTCCTCCTCCCGCGTCGTCGTCGTCGTCGCCTACGTCGCCCTCTGTCTTTCCTCGTGTTCGTCGTCGTCGTCCTCTTTGGCGTCGTGGTCGTTTCCGTCGTCGTTGTCGCCGTGGTCGTCCTTCATCCTCCTCCCTCGTCGTCGTCGTCCGTCGTCGGCGTCTCGTCGTCGTCCCTCCTATTTCGTCGTCGTCGTCGTCGTCGTCTTCCCTCTTCCCTCGTCGCTGTCGTCGTCGGCGTCGCCGTCCTTCCTCCTTCTTCGTCGTTCGCGTCGTCGTTCGCGTCGTCGTTGTCGCCGTCGTCGTCCTCCCTCCTCCCTCGTCGTCGTCCTCGTTGGCGACGTCGTCGTCGCTTCCTCTTCCCTCGACGTCGTCGTCCGTCGTCGGCGTCTCGTCGTCGACTACCCTATTCCGTCGCCGTCGTCGTCGTCGTCGTCTTCCCTCCTCCCTCGTCGTTGTCATCGTCGGCGTTGCCGTTCTCCCTCCTTCTTCGTCGTTCGCGTCGTCGCCGTCCTCCCTCCTCCCTCGTCGTTGTCGTCGTTGTCGTCGTTGTCGCCGTCGTCGTCCTCCCTCCTCCCTCGTCGTCGTCGTCGTCGTCGTCGTCTTCGTTGGCGGCGTCGTTGTCGTCGTCGTCGTTGTCTTCGTCGTCGTCGTCGTCGGCGTCGTCGTCGTCGGCGTCGTCGTCGTCGTCGTCGTCGGCGTTGTCATCATCGTCGTCGTCGTCGTCGGCGTCGTCGTCGTCGTAGGCGTCGTCGTCGGCGTCGTCGTTGTCGTCGTCGTCGGTGTCGTCGTTGTCGGAGTCGGCGGCGCCGTCGTCGTCGTAGTCGCTGCCGTCGTCGGTGTCGTGGCCGGGTGCCATGTGACACCTACCGTCGCGGTCTTGTCTTCAGAAGTCTTGCGACCAAGTTGCGGGTGGGAGGGTGGGATGTTTGCACGAGCAGAGGAGAGGACAGCTTCAAGACGGTCAAAGCGAGTTCCCACAATAAGCATTCGCGCAGTACTGGCTGTCGTGGATTGCGTTCTTCGAACAGGAAGGACACCAGAAGGAACCAGTGCCTACTGTCGAGCGAAAAGGCGGGCGCGCTACTTCGCGAGGGCCCGATGCTCCGCCTGGCGCACTAACGGCCGCAGCCGACCTTTTCTTTGAACTGTTTCTCCCAATTGGCTTTGGATACGTTGTTCCGACAGCTCGCGATAGCGCGCCTCGCGGCGAACTTCCGATTGTTTGAGCGTCTGCGTCGCAGCCGCTTCCGCATTTCGGGGCCCGGCGCCCAGTCTGACGTCGGCCTCCTGTTCCACTATCTGAGTTCTCAGCGAAGCCTCCCCAGCATCGGCGATCACGCTCGCAGACGAGGCTGTTGATTCCAAGGTGATGGCGTGCTCCCGCTGTCGAGAGTCATCGGCTTCGCCTCGGGCTCTATGCAGCAAAACTGCATTCTCGTCCGCGGCGCGCATCGCCGCTCCGACATCGGCCTTCTCCCCGGCGGCCGCTTCCTGAATCTCAATGTTGGCCTCCGACGTCAATTCCGCATTGCGTGCTTTTGCTGCTGCGGCCATGAGGCCAGCTGATCCACCGCCGTCATTTGGCTTTAAATGCCCCCCCAGCAGAAACAGCATTTTCTGCAACGGCTACAGCAGCAGTTCGCGCCAGCCTCTCCGCCGCCTCACTTGCCTCGAGCCGATGTGCCACGTCCTTCATCTTCATATGGGCCCTTCCGGTGTTATCAACCATTGCAAGACGCGAGCGTGCCTCGGGGCGTTCCAAAGCGCGAGCAGCACCCTGGCGGCCCCCCTCGATTTGCAGCCTTGCCGCCGCCCTCTGCTGAAGTTCCGCGGTCCTGACCTGCCCCTGCACGTGCGCCGGCTCTCTCTTTCGCTCTTTCTCTCTCTCTCTCTCTCGCGTTTTTTTTTTTTTGTTGTTTGTTTTTGTTTCTCTCTCTCTCTCTCTTTCTCTCGCTCTCTCTCGCTCTCTCCCATTCTTGGCGGCGGAGGGCCGCGCCATTGCGCGCGCTGGGGACGAGGCAGCCAGGGCGCAGGAAACTTGAGTTGCACTGGGGTTAGTTCACCGAGCCTGCAAAGCAAACAAGCTTCTTGCATATGCCATGCATTCCGGGACATCTGAACTCTGGGGCGTCGGCGCAGTCGACCCCTATGTGAAAACATCATTCTAGTATGCGGTACCTTGAATCGTTCGACCATGCCGCGCATGCCGATCGCGATGACGCCCCCGATGTCGCTCGTGGCCCCCGCCGCCTCACGGGCGCTCCAGATCCGAACCTTGGCGAAAAGGCCCTTCAGATAGGGGTCCTGGTAGGACTTGCCAACAGTCGCCCAAAGAGACTCGCCCCGGTTCCCTCAGGCGAAAGGGGCGCCATGCGATGTGCGCCCCGTTCTACAACCATCTCCGTGCGGCATTTCTCGATTTTCCGGCGGACTCGCCGTTCTCGATCGTTTGATCACCAACGACTTCGACAACGTCATGTCGTCTCGGAGTTGTTTCACCGTCGCTGTCCGTTGAACGCCCCCAGCGGATGGGTCATCGCAAGGGTCTTCAGCAGCGTCGCGTTCCGAACTGGGCAGGGCTTCCTGTTCCTGACGAAGCTGCTCGACTAAACCATCGGTTTGGCGATTGCTATCCTCCTCGTGCGTGTCGACATGATTATCGAGCGTCGTGGAAGAAGGGTCAGATACGTCGTTATCCGAAAATGCCTCGATGGGTGGGATTCCCGTGCCCATGTGATGATCATCTAGTGGCCGAGGCACATCCGGCCGAAAGGGAGAGCTGTCGCCGCTAGTTACGGAGACAGGAATGTTCATACTCGCCTTCTGCGGTGAACGTAATTTCTGGCCCCTGACGTCGTCAGGGTCTTGAAAGACAATTTCTACCGTTTCTCTAAGAGCCATGCGGATGTTTTGGTGCACCGAAAACATCTTCATCACCAGTTCCTGAAGGGAACGCCCCCTGGCATCGCGGAGAAACGTTCGGTTGATAACCAATATTTTGCCGCTCTATCGCTATATTAGGCAATCGTGTCTTGGCATTGATTTGTTGTTCTGCTTGCTGGTCTTCGTCAAGTAGCTCACGGAAGGCGAACCTCCCACTGCGAACTGGTACATGGCTAAGCGAGTCTGTTGAGCGCAACCACTGCAAGCAAGGCGCGATGCATCCGCGTGCGCGCGCGCGGCGGGCCCGCCCAGCCTGCCGGCGCGCGCGCTTTTGCTTGAGTCGCTATTCGATCGTCGACGGCAACGTTGTCGATCGCCAACGAACGACGACGAAATAAATCTCGTTGTCAATGGTTCTCGACCGTCTACAACGACGCCCTCGATCGTTGTAGTCGACGACGCAGGCGCTGATCGACGACGTCGTCGTCGTCGGTGTTGATCATCGACGGCTGGCGTGTCGTCGACGCCGACCGACAACGGCGCCGTCGGCAAACTTCAGTGGCAATGCGCGGGACCCCCCCATGCCATTTGACGCTGACCGACGCTGACTGACCGGCTCTGACCGACGCTACTCGACGCTGGTTAACACCAAATCCACGCTTGTCGACGCCGAACCCGCGCTGCCTCATCATTAACCAGATGCTGGCGCACGCCAACACATTCTAAGTATGGAGTTTCGAGGACACACTAAGCTCCTATGATTTGCTGCCGAAGGCAGACGGCGTCGCCCGGAAGCGGCGTCGACGACCATCGACAGGCGCCGTCGTCGATCGACCAGGGAGACGTTCGACTCGGGTTCGGGGGAATCTGAAATTTGACGCGACCTCCCACTGCAAACATCCCACGAATACTGAGCCGTCGCTATCCAGGATCGGCTCGTCAAAAACTGTGGGCAATCGGTAACACCAGTTCTGGCGAACTCGAGTCGAACGTTTCCAGAGGAACAAAAAACTGCATAGGCATACACTTTCCGACGTCCATGCAGATTTCTTGGATCCGCGCTGGACCCCCCTCACTGGCAGGCGGAACGCGCCATGGGCGCCGCCAGAGGCACCGCCAGAGGGTCATAGCGCAGATCGACAACACCCGCGCGAAGCTCCGAAAATTTACAGTCGCGATTGATTAGCGAGGATACGCGAGGGGACCCGATTTCAAGGGGGAGCATGGCCTCTAGCCCAGGGTACGCTTACCCCAAGAATGCGGCATGTGGCGCCATGCGCAGGACACGTGTTTTGGCAGTGTCGACCTACCATTAAAACCAACGGCGATCGACGGATCTGGCCGGCGCGGAGTTGTTTCAATTGTTTCAATTTCGACGAAGCGAAAATATTGCAACATCGTGGGAAATCGCGACCAAAACCCCATGACCCCATCTTTCTGCGCCAATCTTCGAGCTGAACCCATCTGTGAGGGCCCCGCGTCCCGAAATCGTGCGGAAACATCCGGCGCAGCACCGATGAACCGCCAAAATCTTAGATACGTTTGGGAGCGGCCAGGGGGTCTGAAATGATTGGCACTTGGGACCTGGGACCTGGGAAACGCGGCCAGGAGAAAGGATGAAGCCGAATCTGCACAAAATGGATCCCCGGACCTCTCCCGGGGTGCATCAGGTGCAAGTGTTCACCCTGGATCAGGTTTTGACGGTCCGGGGGCCCGAGAAAGACCCAAAGACGCCACAGAAGACAAAAAACCTTGTCGAATGCAAAGCTCGAACCTCGAACCCCCCCTTCCTGTGCTGGCCAGAGCTGGGCTACCTCGGACCCCCAGCTGTCTCCGTTTCCCCGAATCGACGGCCGGCGGCGTCCTGCCTGCAGTGCGAGCGCGTCGGCGGGCAACGATGCGCCCTGCGAGGGGGGCTGCTGGCGCGCCTTCGCCGGCCCGAGCCCGCCGAGGCCTCGCTGCGGGGGAGTAGGGGCCGCCGCCGACGAACGACGACGATCGACGACGACTCGGCCACACGTAAGAGTGACCATAGGAGTGACCTTTGGTGGGCGGCTTCTCGGCCGGTGCGTACACCCTGCGAAATGCTTAAGAAATCATGGGTTAAGAAATTCATGGTCTCAGAACTTGAATGAAAACCCAAAGATTCTATTCAAATCTTAGGATTTACATTGAAACATTAAGAATAATCGAGACTCTGGCCGAAAATGTACATTTTCTTAAGCATCGCCTAAGGTGTACTTTGCGACGGTAGTGGCCTGCGTGCTCGGGCTTGGCCGCGCAGCGCCACCCGAGAGCCGGGCACCAGAGGTCACCCCTGCGAACCATCACTCTCACGTGTAGCCGAGCCGCCGATCGACGACGATGATTTCGACTACTGGCGATCGACGGCGTTCGTCGACAACGGCGACGACCGGGGAGGACGACGACGACGATGACGACGACGGTCGACGATGACCGACCGACCATATTCAGAACGACGACGACGACGATCGACGAGGGTCGAAGAACGACGACGACGACGATGACGGCCGACGATGACGACCGACGACGGCCCCCGCCCGCGGAGGCCCGTCGGGTGAATCACTTTGTGTTGTCTGGCGAGGGCGAGGACCGAGAACAGTCAGGGATTCCTCTGCCATCTTCCTCCTCCGCCTCCTCCTCCTCCTCCTCCCGCTCCTCCTCCTCCTCCTCCTCCTCCCTCCTCCCTCCTCCTCCTTTTCCTCCTCCTCCTTTTCTTCCTCCTCCTCCTCCTCCTCCTCCTCCTCTTCCTCCCTCTACCTCCCTCCTCCTCCCTCTCTTCCTCCTCCTCTTCCTCCTCCTCCTCCGCCTCCTCCGCGAGCGCATCGGAGCGAGCCCGAAGACAGGCTCGTTCGAGATCCATCGTCTGTCACCCGGGGATATTGTTTGATGGTCCAGGGGCTTGAACAAACGGCTTCCAGACGTCGGGAGAAGCGAGGACAAAAACACGGATCCTCGGCTTTGCTTGTCTCCTTTCGACGTGTTCCTCGGTCGACCTGCTGCCTCCCTCCTCACTCCTCAAAAAAGAACACTCCGCCGCGCAGATCGGGAATGCGTGCAACTGCAGACTTTTGGGTGATTCCTCCACGTAGTGGCTTCACGGGGAGCTGGCTACCGCGCTGAAGCTCTCGACGTACCGGGCAACCTCCTAGGTGACCTGACTTCGCGCATGGCGCCCCGCGGTACGCGACCCGCGGCGAAGAGTTCCGAAAACCTCCGAGGACCTTCGCAAGCCGACGACGATGATGACTCATGGCCCCCCGACCTCTTCTGTCGCGCGCTCTGGCCAGAATCCTGGCCGCGAGGAGGCGCCCGAAAGGGTCCCCGACGACCACCGCGACGACGCGCCCACGACGACAACGACGACGACGACGATGACGACGACGACTGCGACCATCGCGACGACGACGACCGTGATGACGACGACAGCGTCGACGACGACGACGACGACCACCGGGACGACGACCACCGCCGCGGCGAAGACCACCACCACAGCGACGACGGCGGCGGCGGCGGCTGCGACGACCGCGGCGGCGACGCCGCGCAGCCGCGCGCGGGGCCCGTGCCCGCGCGGGGCGACGGCGCCTAGGTCCCCCAACGTAACGACGCCGCTGGGGGTGCGGGCTGCGGGCGACTGGCCGCCCTGCGCGGTCGGCGACGACGACGACGGCGACGACGACGGCAACGGCGACGGCGACGGCGGCGGCGAAGGCAACGGCGACGGCGGCGGCGACGGCGGCGGCGGCGGCGAAGGCAACGACGACAACGACGGCGACGGCGACGGCAACGACGGCGGCAGCGACGGCGACGGCGACGGCGAAGCCGGCAGCACCGGCCCGAGGGCGTCGGCGGCTGGTGACCCTTCGCGGCCGGCTGTCGTCGGGGGCGTCTCAGAGGAGGCCGTCCAAGAGGGGGTTTCGCATATCATGGCCCGAGGCATGGGGCCATGAAATCTGGGCCACCTCTATCATCTCGCCTGTCATCAGCCCCCTCGTGGCCGCCCCCGAGAGGCGCCCACGCGCCGGGAAATGCTAGGGCCCAGGGGGGGCAGTGGGGCCTGAGCGGTCCTGGAGGTGGCCGTCTGGCCTCAGAGCGCTTCTGCCCCCCCCCCCCCCCAACGGCGTTTTCGGAGTATTTGTTCTGACCTTCTGCGCCGCAGGCTGCTACGGGGACACTCGCTGCACATACCCTTTTCCAGGGGGGTACTTACTTAGCCGTATGATTGCGATGTGGATCGCTTACCCGCCTGCTTACAATTGCCTGCGAACAATCTGCTTCAAGAACGCAGCGATTCACAATCCGCAGTCTACGCCGATCATGATACACCTCTTCAATATGCAATGTGTGGTGGTGCTCCAATGCTTTCAGATCGGCATTTCGCCCGTGGGGTGGTGTGCGCGTGGTCCCTACAACATCTCCCCAGTTATCGTGCTGAGTCTTGGCCCCTGCGCCCCTGGCCCCTGCGCCCCTGGCAGGGCCTGCACTGGCTTCGAAGTGATGCGGAGCAGCTTGGCCAAGGCCGTGCAAAGTGACAGCAAAAGAGAGCACCGACCGAACCGACAACCGACCGAAATCGACAGGCAGCAAGGCAACCCAGAAGGGCGTGCCGTGCTGTGCGAATGGATGCACTGGGCCGGCGCCGTACCCGGCCCGTGCCGTGCGACTGCCGTGCCCGCGTGCTGTGCCCTTGCCGTGGGCATGCGGTTCCGTGCCCGCGTGCCGCGCCGTACACGTGCCGCGGATGTCGATGTGGACTCACCATGTGTATTCCCATGCCACGTTGCTGCTTAGGGTCTGAGTGCTCTGATTTCGAAGGTGTCTCAAGCGATAGCCTCATGATGAACGCACGGCGTCGTAAAACAATTCATTCGGCAAGTCCCTGCTGAGAAACTGTCTCAGGCGAAACACTTGTTTTGAGAAACCTTCTTGACATGAGCCGGAAGGTATGACATCAAAGAGCTGCGCATTAGCATGCAGCAACATCACGATCAACTGCGATCTAGGTGCGCCCCCCGAAAGTCTACCGGGGCCAAAACTATGGAAACACAGTCAGCGCGCAATGTGCGCGAGATGGTGAATACAAGCGCATCGTCCCTACGGGGAGCTCCAATTACAACCCCAGCGAGCATATCCCTACGGGTCCCCGCGTCCATTCGGCGCAACCCTCATGCGGATCGTGCCCCAGAGGGAGCTCTGGCGACGGCCTCAATGAGCACGTCCCTGTACAGACACCGCTTCCTTTCGACACAGTCCTCACGCGGTTCGCGCCCCACCAGGAGCTGAATTTCATGCCCCAGCGAGCACGTCCTATACCTTCCCTGCCTCGATTCGGCACACCCCTCGCTCGGATCGTACCCGATAAGAAGCTCCAGCTGCGGCCCAGTGCGCACAACATGGCGCAAGTCTCAACTCACTTTGGCGCACCTCTCACGCGGATCTAGACCATAGTCTAGACACGCGTTTCCCTTGATCTCTTTGATAGTTTTGGAGCCCCTGGGGCCGTCTTGGGGGTCCTCCAAGAGCGCCCCAGAACCAGCCTTAAACAGCTCTTTCAGCATCACAGATTTGAGGATGTCTCAGGCGAGAGCCTCATTCGTGAAGATGCGAAACATTCGCGAACTCGATCAACATCGCGGTGTAGCGCACATCGAACACATCGAAGTGCCAAATGTCTGAGCTCCACCTCCTGACTCCCTCCTTCTCCCCTCCCACTCTTTTGTCAAATAGGATTCACGACTTCAACTGCCCCTCGACACGCGCCGAATCTTCCACGATCTATCCGGACTGGCCTGGACAGTCTTGGGTGCACCCGACATGCCCAGGCCTGCATCACACTGCACACTCCTACATCGGCTCATCTGGATTTGGGCTCATTTGGATTATTTTGAAACTTTCGGAGGCCAAATTAAGCCTGCGTGCGTAACGCAGGAGTTGGGTCGTCGGGCGTGCGTATGACGTGTAAGCGAGCTGGCACATCATTTTCGGATGCTTTCGAGCATGCGTAAACGACTTCGGGCTGTCGTTTCGGGTGTGGTCTTTTTGTGGGATGATCGTCTCGAATACGCCGAAACGAACAGTTCGAGTGGTGGTGCCCCGACGTAAAAAGGATCAACAAGAACCCACAGCTGGCTCTACCCCCGCGGTCGACTGGAGAAGCTAACCGCAAGCCTCCGAGGGGCCCGTCCCTCGCAGCATCGCCCCCCCTCTCCCCTCCCCGCGACGCGCCGCACTGCGGGGCGAGGGAGCTCCTGAGGCGCCCCCGAGGCAAGGCGGGCATGCCGCGGGCCCTGGCGGGAAGAGCGCGGACGCAGGAGAAAATCTAGCAACAAACAACTGCATAAACGCGTACTTTCGGAGGTCCGCGCGGATGGCTTGGCTCGGCGCTGCACCCCTCCCTGGCGCGCGGAGCGCGCCAGGGGCGCCGCCGGAGGGGCCCCCAACGCTTTTCAACAAATCCTTGCTGAGCTCTGAACGTTCAATGTTCACGCGGTCCCTGTTCTTCGCGACAGGGGGGGGAAGAGGGACGACTTGGGGGTCCCAACACGGTGCGGTGACCTCGCGATCCCAAGAGGACCTCACCGCACGGCCTTGGGGACTTCGGGGGGCCCAGGTGCCCGATGCATCCTCGGAGCACGACCTCGAGTGTCACCTCTGACTCACTAGACGGCGTGGCCACCGCATCGCTTGGGGACTCCCGAACTCCAGACGCCCGACTATCTGATTTTTTAACAACCATCCTGTGGTGTTGAATCCTCGTGTTGAATCTGCACCGTCCCGCGTCCTCCCTTCCTTCCTTCCCTCCCTCCCTCCTTCCTCCTCCTCCTGCCTCCTCTCATACCTGCCTCTGACATCCGCATGCCCATTTTGATACACCCCTTACACGCTTCGTGGCCCCACGGGGAGCTCCATCGCAGGCCCCAGTGACAGGGTTCGCATGCGGTACCCGCCTCCACGTCGGCACATCCCTCATACGTTTCGGAGGTTACACCCCTCTCCAGGAAAATCTAAGGAAAACAAGCCAACAGAGTTAGATATGTTGTGTTTGAGGTCCCCCCCCTGGAAAACTACGAAACACCTTGGACAAAAACAACGACAAAAATCCCAACGGGGCTCCAGGAGAGGTTCGACGAACTGCCACACCCAACTGGTTTCGAGCCAGATCGATCTGTGATGGTCTCAAGGCCCGAGCCGGGGCGAAAATGCTCGATGCGGAAAAATTGCAACGCCCAGAGATCAGGAGAGGGAGGATGGAGCGAGCGGGCCAGCCAGCATGCGTCCAGGTGTGTCACTAGGACGCCGCCGCCGAAGAGAGAGGGTGGCCGCAGCGGTGGCCAAGGAACAGGCACCTCCCACAGGTACAGTGCCACGCTCAGCGGAGAAGGTCAGGGAGTAGGAACGACCCTCAAGCGACCTCCGTATAACTGCACTGGAGACGACAAAGGTCCAGACATCCGACGAAGCAATGCTTTCGATCTGCGACCCAAGAGCTCCTGACCCCCTCCCCCGAGGTAATTCTTCGTCCTGAATCCACTTTCATGGCCCCGGGGCGGAGGACAAGGGCTAGGGCGAGGAGGAGCAGGAGGGGGAGGAGCAGGAGGAGCAGGAGGGGGAGGAGGGGGAAGAACAGGAGGAGGAGCAGGGGGGGGAGGAGGAGGAAAAGGAGGAGGCCGCCGCTATCGGCGCCGCTATTGGCGAGTGCGGCCCTGGAGGCACTCACCAATCAGCGCTACTCACCACCGCCGCCGCACGCCGCCACGCCGCCACGTGCCTATTATGGACCATCCCCTTCCTCCTCCTACCCTCCAAATCATCATGTGCCTCCCCTGCCTCCTCCCTCACCCACCTCCAGGGTGCATGGGGACATAGCTACCCCACCCCTGGGGGTCTGTCGGCTGCTCCCCCCATTTTTTATCACCAATAACCTAGTTTGACCCCCACGCATGGGGCGACCGCTCCTGGGATTAGGTTCGGCAATAGCGACTACAGGCTGTCCACCGCCATATCGGGCGAAGAAACTCAAACTCGAAAAAACTTCAAAACATCTCTAAGCTAACACCAGCGGAAATCTCAAACTCTAAAAACACTGCAAACAACTCTAAGCCAACACCTGCGAAAATCTCAAACTCTAAACAGACGTCAAACAATCTCGAAGCCAACACCTGCGAAAATCTCAGACCCCGAAAATACTTCAAACAACTCTGTAAACCAACACCTGCGAACATTTCACGCTCTAAAACAACTGCACACAAACACTCTGAGCCGAAACCAGTGGAAATCTCAAACCTAAAAAAACTATCAACCGAAACTCTGAAACAATAACAACTCAAGGAAAAACTGAAGCAACAACTTTAAAAACAATCTAAACGCCTAAAAACTCTTTAAACAAGTCTAAGCAACTCTAAACGCCTATATATATATATATATATATATATATATACACGAAGCCCAAAACCATTTTAAACAACACTCTGACACAACTCTGGGAACTTCTAAAACACAGATCTAAACCAATGTCTGACCGCCTGGCGAACTCAAAAAAACAGCCTGGACAAAACTCAAACAAACACAAACTACAAATTCCAGCTTAAAGTTTGAGATGTTCGCAGGTTTTGGCTTAGAGACTTTTTGCAGCTTTTTCAGAGTCTGAGAGTTTCGCAGGTTTTGGCTTAGAGACATTTCTGAAGTTGTTAGAGTTTGAGATGTTCGCAGGCTTTGGCTTAGAGATGTGTTTGAAGTTTGTTTTAGAGCTTGAGATTTCCGCAGGTTTCGGATCAGAGATTATTGGAGTGTTTTTTAGAGTGTGAGATTTCCGCAGGTTTTGGCTCAGAGTCTTTTTGAAATTTTCGGGGAGGCTGAATTTTCTGAAGATTTTCCGAAGAGTTCGGCTGTTTCCTCGATGGACCTCCTGCAGTAGAATTGCCAAACCTAATCCTGGGGTTGAAGGGGGGCGGATGTGGCCCGCCTCCGCCGCGGGAGCCCCCTGGGCACTCGGCGCAGCAGGGCCGTCGGCTTCGGCGCCGGCGCGACGGCGCGCGCGTTGGCGCGTGGCTCGCCTCGGGGTGGGGTGCCCGCGGCGGGGGGCGGCGCGGCGAGGACGACGGCGAGGACGACGGCGAGGACGGCTCGGCGGCGAGCCACAGGGGGGAGGGTTTCTGGAGTTTTCGTGGTTTCGCGGAGGTTGTCCAATCGTGGATGCTTTCCAGCAGCTGCGCCTCACCAACCGCACTCTGGGGGTTCCGGGATCGTCCTGAACGGCCGTCAGAGGCCCAAGTTATGACCCGAAGGCCAGACTCGGCGGCGCGCCCCAGGCAGGAGGGCGAGAGGGGGCGAGCCTTCTCAGAGGGCTCGGGAGACCTCGGGCCTCTTGAACCACTTCCGGAGCATCCTCCGAGGACAGAGCCGGCTTCTCGAATGCTGGGCTTCTGAGAAGCACCACCGCCCTCTGAGAAGGCCTGCCCCTCCTCATCGAGTCGCATCGCCAATGCATCGGCGATGTGGCGCGATCATCCGACCACATCTTCTTGGACCCCGTCTGTGAAACCTAGATCTCCTCACTTCCCGTCCAGGCGTGACGGCGGCGAGGAGGACGATGACGGCCGCAGCCGCGGCCGCGGCAGGCGCGGCGGCCGCAGTAGGTGCGGCGGCGGCGACCCAGCCGCTGCAACTGTTCCGCACTGGGGCACCCTCGCCCGGTGTCGGCCCCGGGAGCCATCAAGGATCGATGCGGCTCGGAAACTGGGAGAGAAGGGGTCTGGGGCTCAGGTGGTGATTCTTCGCGTGGTATTTGTTCCAACTGTCCTGTGGTGCTGGGTCCTCGTTTTGACGACACAGCGCCCCGAGATCCTCCTTCCCTCACTCCTCCTCCTCCTCCTCCTTCTCCTCCTCCTCCTCCTCCTCCTCCTCCTCCTCCTACTCATCCTCCTCATCCTCGTCCTCCTCCTCCTCCTCCTCCGCCTCCTCCCTCCTCCCATCCCAGACTCTGCATGTCTATTTATTACGGCACACCCCTCACACGCTTCGTGGCCCCTTAGGGGGCTCCACCGAAGGCCCCAGAAGCCGCGGCCGCCTGCTTCTCCCCACACCCAGCACGGCGCTTCGTGGCCCCATGTGGAACTCCACCGAAGACCCCAGTAGCCGCGGCCGCATGGGTCTCCCCCACCCATCACGGCACACCCCATCACGCGCTCAAGGATCTCATATGGAGCTCTACCGAAAGCGGCGCTCACAATGCGATACTCACAACTGCATATGGTGGTCCTGCATATGATAACAGTTCGCAAAGTCGGGTCTCAAAATCCCTTCTCATCATCCTTCTCCTCCCTCCTCCTCCTTCCTCCTCCTCCTCTTCTGAGAGTCCAAGGGGCTGCCTGATTGCATGGGAGCCGTGGCCCGTTATCGAAGTGCTCGCTGGTTCTTGGAGACTCTTCTCGTCTGCCTTTTTGCCACAACGTCGGATCTCAGCGACGCGCGGCGATCGCGGCGAAAGGCTGCGCACTGGGCCGCGGCGGCTGCGGCTCCCGGCCGGCCCGGAAGCCACGGCAGCCGCGGGGGAGGGCGGGCGAGGACAGCGGCGAGGAGGACGGCGGACATCGTCGACCTCTTCGGCGTCGTCGTCCATACGGGCTTTCTAGATTGGGCTCGGGAAGATAGGGTCGGAGGATCGCGCCGCATTGCTGTATCGGCGATATGCATCGGTAACGTCGGCGGTGTGTTGGCGACGCCAGCGCGGAGAAATTCGGGCTCCACATTGAGAATGCATCGGCGGTGCGGCGCGATCCTCCGACCCATCCGACCCTGGCCTTTAATCCACCAACCCTGCTCCTCCAACCCCCCGCCTCATGCCCTTTCTCCTCCTGCCTCTCCCCGTCCTTCTGCTCTAGACTCCCCGCCTCTTCTTCCTCCCCTCTTCCGTCGCTTCTCCCAATGTTCCCCAAAGCGGGGAAGAACCGTCATGAACCCGGCGCGACCCCAGTTAGGAGTCTTCACCCTCCAAACAGTTCAAAGCAGTTCTGAGAAATGCAGAGCATTGCACAATCTGTCCTGGCATTGCTTGGTGTTGCTTGGCATTGTTTGGCGTTGTTTTGCATTGCTTGGTATTGTGTTGCTTCGCATTGTTTGGCATTGCTTGGCGTTGCGTTGTGTTGCCTGGCGTTGTTGGGCATTACGTGGCCCTGGGCAACCCCGGACAACGCTGGGGGCCGCTTGGAAAACCCTGTGCACCCCCTGGGGACGCCGGCTGGGAAGGGCCCCGCACTCACCTGCTTCTCTCACAGGCAAGTGAGCATCCCATAGGTAAAGCCAAAATCAAGGACAAACCTCGATCCTCGAAACCACGATTCGATTCCCCATTCAGTAGACCTGAAGGGGAGCCGAAAGGGGGGGGACTGGATCAAGGGGAGGAACAGTCACTTGGAATCGAAGACGCATCGCCAGGCCCCAAATGGAGAAACCGCGCTTTCCTGGGCAAGTGCGGGCACACAGGCCACGATTGGCGAGGAATTTGCGATTGGGGGTCGGTGCTCCTCAGCCAGCCCTGCCCACCCCGTCGGATGACGTCAGAGATCTGGGGAGGCCCCCAAAATGTGGAGGCCCAGGAGGGTGCGGTGACAGACTTTGCGGTGACCTCAAAATCCTCGAACATCTCACCACCTGGTCCCTCGCCGCACGGCTTCGGGACCTCGCCACCCGAGACATCCTCGGAGAACGACCCGAGTCCCAAACCGTGCGCTCAACCTGAATCCCTTCTGACTCGCCGGGCGGTGGGGTCACTGCGCCGTTGTGGGACACCCGACAAGAAAACGAGGACGAGGGCCTGAATCGCCTCCCCGACATCGCAATCGGAACCTCGACCCAATCTTCATGCGGCACCACTCGCGCTAAGTCGAACCGTGAAGGTCCCGTGGCCCGAATCCAGACGAAAACGCCCGGAACAAAAAGTGGCAACGCCTGGATCCCCAGGTCATCTCCGACGCAGCGCTTTTTCCAACCATCCTGTGGTGTTGGGTCCTCGTTCTGAAGAGGCTGCGCCCCGCCTCCGTCCTGACCCCTCCTACTGCCTCCGCTTCCTCTCGTCCCTGCCTCTGCCCTCTGCATGCCGACCTTCTTCGGCACCCCCAGTGCAGCGCTCCGTGGCTCCATAGGGAGCTCCACCGAAGGCCCCAAAGAGAGCGTTCGCATGCGTCCCACCCGCCCTAGTACAGCGCTTCGTGGTCCCATAGGGAGCTGCAACGAAGGACCAAGAGGGAGAGTCCGCATGCGTCCCCCACCTAACGCAGTACAGCGTTTCGGCCCCACCGAAGTCACCAGTGGCGTTCGTTTGCGTCTCCCCCACCGCCCCTCCCAGTACAGCGCTTCGTGGCCCCAGAGGGAGCTCCACCGACCGAAGCCAGAGGCGACGTTCGCATGCGGTTCCCCCACCAAGTGCAACGTTTCGTGGCCCCATAGAGGGCTCCACCGAAGGCCCCAGGGGCGACGTTCGCATGCTGTTCCCTCCGCCTCGTACAAAGCTCGTGATCCCATCGAACCCCTCCGAACGGCCGCCCGCTCCGCAGGCTGGACGCCTTCCAAGTCGACGTCTTCCAAAGTCTCGCCACGAGAGACCCTGTCATCCGCTGGTATGCATTTTTCCATCCGCGTTCGCAGAGCCCCCGACCGCACCTCTGGGGGTCATTGTTCTCCCTGTATTCATTGTTGACGGCCCCGGGGCAGATAACAGGCCCCACAGGCCGGAATGGGCGAGACACGTCGGTTGAACAACACGGTCGAAGACCTGAGGCTGTCTCGTCACCTGACAGTCGCGACCCAACCCCTGGGACCAGCTCTTCATCTCGAGCCGTGTACTGATGGCCTGCGGCCCATGGTCCGTCGAGGCACCCAGAGGCCGAAAGTAGTAAGCAAAAAACGCCCCCCCCATGAGTTTTGTTTGCGACGCGCGGGGGGGGGGGGCAGGAAGCGTCCAGGCGCACCAGGGTGCGTGGGGCAGGGCTGCGAGCGGACCTCAGCATACCCCTCCAAGGTAGGATGAGCTGTTCACCAGACAAAACGCGCGGAGCTCCGTCTCCTCGAAAGAAGCGGCGAGGATGGGACGCGACGCGAGGATGTCCGTGGGCGCCGAGGGGCGGGAGCCCTCCCGCGCGGAGGCGGCGGTCCGCGTGGGGGGGAGGGGGGCGCCTGCCCTTCGAGCGCGCGGAGCGCGGCGATGAGGGCGACTCCTGCTGGGCAGCGCGCGGCGTGGGCGGCAGGTCGTGGGAGCGGGGAGGCCGGGAGGGAGGCCAGGAGGGAGGCATGCCAGGAGGGAAGGGGTGCCAGGATCCCCTGGGAGAGCCGTGGGATCCTGGGAGGGGGACGTCCCAGGACTCTGGGCATACTCCTGGGGGCAGGGGGGGCCGCGCGCGAGGATGGACCGGTTTGGCAACGATGCATGGGGAACCTCAGAAAGCTGCTCATCCCTACTATGTGCTGTGACTGCATGAGGACCATCCTGGAGGCCCCGCGCGGCAACTTGAGGCCCAATCTGCGTCGACTCCACATCGGGCTTACGTCGGGCTCGCGTCGGATTGCGTCGAATTTGCGTCGGGTTTGCGTCTGGTTCGCTTCGGACTTGCCTGTGAGCATCGCCGCGCGAAAGTCGTCTTACATCTGACGGGGCGGACGTGTAGACTACATGGTACAACAATTGCGCGTCGCGCAATCAGGACTTTCCTCGTAGCAAGGGGGGCGATACGGGGGAAAGACTGGATCTCTGGGGAGGAAACTGTACTGATACCGCTGCTCGTCACTCGTCCTGGAGATCCCTCGTCGCCTCGGCTGGATTCTCCTCGACATTCTCGTCAGAACGCAACCTGGGAGAGGTCCCGGGCATCGCAATACCGGTACCTCTCTGCTCGCCAACGATCGGCGGTGCATCGCCGATAGATCGGCGATAGGGCCTCGATAGAGAAACCGTGCGGTCCTGAGAGCGGGGCAAGGCAGGCAGGGAGGGGGAGGGAACGAGGAAGAGACTGGCTCAGGTGGGGGGGGCATCAACTTGGAATCGGCGTTGCATCGCAAATGCCGACAGATCAAGGGTGAGCTCTCGATAGAGAAACCGTGTGTTCATAGGCGGGGTGGGGCACTCAGGGCCCGATTGGCGATGGATGTGCGGTTGTGGGTCGATGCTTTCGCCACTGGGCTGGTCCTCCCCTGTCGGCGCCCCTGGAGGGGGAGGGGACAGGGCGCACAACTGCCGATTGTCCTCACCGAGCCCTCCCAACACGGCGCGGGCGGCGAGACGAGGGCTGGCGCAGGCTGCGCGCTATCGGTGGAGCTGAACGGGGGCGTATCACACGTTGGACTGACGCCCGTCCTGAGGGTCATGGAGCTGCTCTGTTGCGCTTTCGGCTCGCGGGCTTCTGCCCAAACATCCGGCGCCTCGAACAACTTGCCAACATCGAGGCGTTCATTTTTCACGGTTTTCCGCCTGTGGAGGCCAGGTCGGGCCTTGGGACCGCCAAACAACCACTCTGGATGAACACCCGGACCCATGAAACGGATCGAGAGGTCCAGGGGCACACGCATTGGAAACACCGAAGCGCCAGATGCCTGGGCGTGTGTGTATCTGTAGCAGGCTGGAATCGCTCTTGCAAATCCTCTTTGCGCGAGAGCTGTACACTTCGTGTCCCCCTGGCACGTGCCAAGTACCCATCGGTTAGAAGAGATGGGTAGAGACATGAAATAGGAAAGCGTTTGAAATAGATTGGAGCTCCGCCCACCCGCTGCAGCCCCCCGTCCGTTCCCGTTCCCCCCCCACGCTCCCCCCCAAACCTCTCTGGCCTCACAAGCCTGAAATTGATCGAGTCGAGAAATCGCATCGGATCGGAAACGGATCGGACCGCGCCCGAATGGTCGCGAAATCGGATCGGGAGCGCACCGTTTGGGATCGCGGGTCGGGCACCTCGCCTGCAGCCTGGTGAGAGATGCGGTTCGTGCAGGGTTGGCTCGGATCGAAACCAGAATCGGCGTTCGGCGATCGGATTGACTTGGACCGCGACTGATCAAACGGATTGGTGTTTGAACCCTGTTTTCTTGAATCCATTTCGGCCTCCGAAACCATCGGAGAGCAATCATAGCGCCCGACGCGCGGTTATCTTCGCGCCTTCGCGCAGCCCCCCGTGGATAAATGCAGCTCTACGATGCAGACCGCGACGCAGGACGCGCGATTCTCTTCGCGCCCACGCGGGTGACCTAGCAATCCAAGACGAGAGGTGGTGGACTGGAGCACAAGCAATTCCTCTTGAAGAAGAAACAATTACGTAAGCTCGGAGGCGGTCTGAACTGGATGGGCCCCGAGTAAATCAGTCAAGAAAGGGGGGATACGGGCAAACATCCGCTCAACATCGGTCCTCAGACCCCTCCCGTAGCCCACAGAACAATCATGCAATTGCTTCGACCTTGGACCCGTTTTGGAAGGTCTTGGGGCCCGAAAGCGCTCCCCGAAGGCTTACAAACATGATAACAACAAAAACGCTCGAACCCCAAACCTCGAACCTCTGGCTCCCCTCCCCTGCTCGCCAGAACCCGTGCTGGGCAACCTCAAACCCCGGCCAACTCCAAACCTATGTAAGCATACGCTGGAGGCCCCTGCGGACTTCCTGGGGCGGCGCTGGACCCCAGCCCCCCTGGCGCCCGCAGCGCGCCAATGGCGCCGCCGGAAAGCGCAGCTGAACTCGGGTCTCCAGCGGCTGCACAGGACGACCCGGGCGCCCCAGCAACGTTGCAAGCGAGGCAGAACTGCTGGAAGGCGTCCCAGGGCTACAAAGCCGCCGAGAACTAACGAAAACGCCCGAAAGCCTCAACCCGTGGATGCTGACCAAAAGACATCAACACCAGCGCAGGGGCTTGCCCCCACCGGGGGAAAAAGGTCCTAGATTTGGTGCTGGCGGTCCGCCGGCCCCCGCTTGCTGGGACCGGACAGGCGCGTGAAAGATTTGGCTGCCCCCCTTTTCCTTCCCCGTGAAAGCTCCAAAATCGCATTAAAAAACGGCGGGGGGCCGGGGGGCGAGCTCATGACCCCCCGAGGCTTCCGGGGCACCCAAGCCAAATCTAGATCCTGTGGCCACCCAGTGAATATCAGCATGGAAACGCTTGCGGTCCTAACTCGCCTTTGTTTCATGGATTTCTTGGGCAATCCCGTGAAGGCGGCCGATCTACGCTAGATGGGTGTATATGTACACATCATCCGGATGTAATCCTAACTCAGTAGGCGGACGATCGATGAGGACGTGCTTATCAACTCGGTCTTGACCTTGCGCCAAAATTGATGCGGCGCAGCGCAACTGCTACTCCACTTCATTGGGTTGTTCATGCTGCATACTACCTGCAGGCACAGCTGAAAGAGGCCGTCCCAGTCATGTTCCCAGAAGGCCTTCCCGGAACACGTTTCCTCACGCATCCCCAGGGCTTCCCCTGGGGGCGCCGATCGGCACCGACCAGCTTCAAGCGGAGATGCCTTTGACCTCCGTCTACGAAGAACAAGCGACTTGCACCATGCCGTAGTTCCAAGGCGAGCGCCCAGCCACACTCAAGACCTCAGCAATCCAACTCGCTCGCGCCTGCTGGTCTCATTCCTCTGGCACAATTGTTCAAACCACAGTGATCGGAGAGTGAAGACACGCGTTCGCCGCCCAGGCCCTTTGCCCCGATGTCTGCAGCATTCCCTGCGCCCTTCAGTGGATGAGCAGTGCGCTGCTTCGACTTCGCACACTGTTGAAGCCAGGCCGTCCTGGCAGACTGCCCATGTGAAACGTGATCTCCGTCGACCAGCCGAGCCACCGCATGGCAACGGCCATCGCCAGCGCGCCGGCACTCCCTGCCGCGCCGCCGTGCCACACTGCCTCGCCAGGTGATGTTGCAATCGCGCTCTGAGTCGCACGCCTCGCGAGTAGAGGGCGCGCTCCATCGCGGCAAATCTGAGCGCAATGGGTCGACTTCTCATTCTTTTTTGGATTCGCCCAGTGCACATCTTCGGTCACATAAAAAATAACAGGTTGTCTCGAGTCCCGCGTCCAGGGCATGCGAAAAGCCGCGGCGTGATCTCGCGCCCCGGCGAAGTGTCGCCCCAGATGCATAGCCGCCCCGAGGGCGCCCTGCGCGGGTGCCCCCAGGAACCTGCCGAGCTGCTTCGGCGCGGAAAAAATGTCGGCCCGAACAGAAAGCTCAGACGTTGAGCGACGCACGCTGTGCTCCCGAACAACTGATTATTCTCGTCGTCTGAGAGTCTGGCAACGTCGCGAAGCGGGCCCCAATCAGCATCGCTCCTCGTCGTCGCTGCCGGTTTGCAACCCTGTAACCCGAGCGTCCTCAGGCACTTGTCGATTCACTTAACGGAAGGCCTCATCACGATAATCCTCTCGCAACTCGCGCTCGCCGCCGAGAAACGAGATGCGGCTGCCTGCCATCAGTGGCCCCTGAGACTCGTTGACCACGCGCTGCGAGAATTCCGCCCTGAAACCAATCGCCTCACGAGTCCGCCCCCGCGCCCGTCGTCCACGTGGGTCATCGGCCCCAGCTTGCTTAGCTCCTGCGCCATGAAGATCGTCGGCGTTGCCTCTTTCTGCTCCAGGCCCACCCCGATCAAGGTTTCTGCCTGCCAGTCCGCACAAAATTTCGCCGCCGGCCTCCCCCCGCAGTCTTCTGCATCAGCCAATTGGCATAGCGCGACCCACCTCGCGCCTCCCGGGCATCCAGCCTTCCAGCAGGAAGGCCCACAACTATTCGCTCTTGCTCCGGCAAGTGAAGGAACGCATATGGCGCCTCAATGATGAGCGCGCACAGCCCTTTGCACAGTTTCCACGCATCGATAAACCTGCCAGCAAACGAGCCCGAAATGGGCGCGATGAAATCGATGCCCCGTTAGCTGTCAAACCCCCCGCGCGCGAAACCTCGCTTGAACGCCCCGCGACGCACCGCGATCTCCCACTACGCTTCGCACCCCCCCCGCTCGCTCCTGGGAGTAGGCCGGGGCGCGTGGAATTCGCCCGCGCGATCCAGACCCGCCCCCCTGGGCCTCTGCGATGCCCCCCTCGCTCGCGCTGGAGAACCCCGCGCCGTCGATGTCCCCCGCGCCCTCCCCCGCGGCGGCCGGGGCCGCAGCGGCGCGCGCCTCGCCCCCAGTGACCGCCCCGACCACGAGATATGAGGGGCAGCCGATGATGCCATCTTGGCGGGGCCCCGC